CTACATTTACTTGACAAACATTATAAACTTCCAATATTTTACAAAAAACTCATATACACTACCATCATCAGGCCCGTCCCGACTTATGGATTTCAGCTTTGGAGCTCCACAAAATCGAATTCTTTCCAAATATAATCCTTATCATCCGAAATTCTTTGTAAAATCCTTATTATATCACCATTAATGATTAATCATCCATAAAGATCTCAACATTCCCTTTGTTGAAGACTTGACCAGAATTAGATAATTCTCTTTTAATTCCAAACTCTTTAGTCACATCAACCTCTGGTTAATAATCTTTCATCCAAAACAATTCCTGACAATCTTCCTCACAAAATAAGTCCATGGGACCTCCTAAATTAATCTTATCACTGAAGTGTAACCAATAGGCAGCTTCTTCATTAGCTCTTATCATGTTTTATATTCCTATAGCAGATTTTCTTGTTATATTTATTTATAAAGTTTAAAATATCAATAAATAGATTAAAAAAAAACTGAAAAGAACAGCCCAATAAAAAAACAATAGATTTCCCCTCAATATTATCTCCATTTGTCATTTTCAACCTACCTCATTTTACAGGTATTATATAATTAACAGTTGCATTATTCTTAATTTTTTTTTATTATTTTAATGGAATTTACAACTGTATTACATAGAGAATACAATAAGTAAATGAGAAATTTGTAACATGGCATGTACAACATGAAGAGAAACTACCCATTGGTAGAACTCAAATTAAAGTTCTATATTAGAAGATCCCGAGGCCATCTTCTTTTCAGACGCCTCGGAGGGTTATCAGAGATCGAGGAGGAAGCAAGGTTTGAAACGAGAGGATTCGGATGGTTCTGCAGTTTGTTATGGAAGGATAGGTATCTGGATTGGGCCAGATCGGAAACATATGGAACATTAAGGTCTTTATGGATGATTTTATTTGTGACAAAGTAAGGAGCGTTGAGAATTTTATGAAGGATTTTGGATTGTAAGGATTGGATACGAGAGGAATTCGATGGTTTAGTGGAGACCCAAAGCAATTCCGTAAGTCCAAATAGGTCTTATTATTGTCATATATACGAGTCGTTTATAATTGATTGAAAGCTTAGATCGTTTGTCTAGTAAGTGCTACAGATGTCGAAAACGTAGGGCGGTTTCTAGTCGTTTCAGTCTGGTATGGGGGTCTTCTTAATTTTTGAATAAAAATTGATGAAACTTAGAGGAAACTGTTCAACCCAAGAATAAGGATTATGTGAAAACCAGAAAAAAAAATCCGTGGAAACATATTTTTCTGTGGTTTCATTTAAATATTCTTTGCATTTATCCCGGATGATGTCATAGGAAGGAATAACAGAATCGCCAATTCTAAATAAATTTGAAAAAATATTCACTCATACATTTTATCAACGCATACAAAACTCATTTATTATAATTATAATCATTCTCCATGCCTCTAAGGTTAATCGGTATGAGTAATTAAACATAAGTTGGAGGCTATGTGTTCTACATGAAAGATTACCAGGTTTTTATATATTATAACCATAAAGTTTAAAAAATTGAAAAATGAAGTAACAACGTGAAACATGAAAATAACATTAAATAAACCAACGAAGAGAAGAATAGTTGGGGTAGTCAGTCAAAAAGGAAAGCAAAAATAAATGTTAATATTTATTTTTTACATATGCCGACGTTTCGACCTGAAGTTCAGGCCTTCATCAGGGCTAAGAAAATAACCAGATAATAAGGTATGAGAAACATAAGTAGTGATGGTAAAAAATAAAATAATAAAAATAAAAAAAATTAGAAAAAATAAAATAGATAAATATAAAGTAAAATGAAATTGTTAGAATGGTGACTAAGAGCTAAGAGATAAATAATAAAAACCGTTACAAAGTGTGGAATGATGAAGTAGGCATAATCAAAAAATGTGACAAAAGTGTTACAATGCGAATCTTAGAATAAAATGTAAAACATAAAAAAGAAATATGAAGTTATATAAGTAATGAAAATAAATAGTAAAATTCATTACTTATATAACTTCATATTTCTTTTTTAAGTTGTATATTTTATTCTAAGATTCGCATTGTAACACTTTTGTTACCCTTTTTGATTATGCCTACTTCATCATTCCACACTTTGTAACGGTTTTTATTATTTATCTCTTAGCTCTTAGTCATTATTCTAACAATTTCACTTTATTTTATATTTATCTATTTTATTTTTTCTATTTTTTTTATTTTTTATTATCTTTTTTACCATCATTACTTATGTTTCTCATACCTTGTTATCTGGTTATTTTCTTAACCCTGATGAAGGTCTGAACTTCAGGTCGAAACGTCGGCATATGTAAAAAATAAATATTAACATTTATTTTTGCCTTCCTTTTTGACAGACCACCCCAACTATTCTTCTCTTCATTATCCACGACAGTCTACCAATTACCAATTATAAATAAACCAACAAATAAAGTTAATAAAATAATTACCTTTGCTGCCCATTCTTGGTAACCAAGAGCAAGTGAGTAAATATTTGTAGTTCTGATAAATTGAATTAATTCTGTCTTTTCCATTTTTGAGGATTATACTTTTTATTGTATGTATTAATTGCCTATCAAGATATCTACAATCATAAAGTATATGTTTAAAATTTTGGATTCGTTCTTCTTTACGAAGGAAATCTTTTTTTATGGTGTTGAATCTTTTAAAAATAATGAACCTTTTAAATATTAATATTAAGACATATATTTACAAATATTATTTCTTGTGAGATAAGAATTTGAATGATAGAACACAATATCAGAAAGAGACACGCTATTTGTAATAATTTTACTATTTTAGCCACCCGAACACCATAAGGTGAATATTGAATTACTTATGTCTTTTCCATTTTTGAGGATTATACTTTTTATTGGATATCAAGATATTTACAATCATAAAGTATATGTTTAAAATTTTGGATTTATTCTTTTTCGCGAAGGAAATCTCTTTTTATGATGTTGAATCTTTTAAAAATAATGAACCTTTTAAATATTAATGTTAAGACATATATTTACAGATATTATTTCCTGTGAGATAAGAATTTGAATGACAGAACATAATATCAGAAAGAGACATGCTATTTGTAATAATTTTACTCTTTTAGCCACCTGAATACCATAAGGTGAATAGATGGACTAAGCTATTTTAAAAACCTCCAACACTGGCCCCTCAGCGGCCCCGGAAAATGGATCGTGACATTCCCATTCTTGTAAGTAAGCTGCGTGAACCTCAAAGTAGTCGCCAAACACTTGGCTAAAAGGATCACCATAGGACCCACTTGCGAGAGAAGTTTCCTCCACCAGTAGCAGTAACAGTATCGAGGAATCCGAAGATTTCCTAGATTTCTAAGAAATAATTGTTTACCGAATGGAGATAATATCTCTTACGAGAACCATAAATGTGGAAGAGATCCTCTTCTACAAAGACTTTACTATATAATCCTCAAGATCTGGGTTAATGAGTTCTAGAACTTCAACAGCCTTTCTAGTGGTAATCTACCGTTATTGTACCGTTTTTAAGAAGGTAGATAGGAAGTTTGGTAGGTTTGAAGTGACTGTATGGAGGGAGAACGAATGCACTGGATCATGATGAATGCAGAAATATTATTTATCCTGAACTGTTGCGCCGGAACAGAAGATGAAGAACGTTACTAACAATAACACCGTAAGATAATTTGTCTATCTAACAAAGAATGTCTTTTTTCGCCGATATTGTAGAACGAAAATCCGTAATAAACTATAACCTACAAATCAACTCAAAACTTGTAACGTTTTTATCATCAGTAACTAATAAATGTTAACTTGTTTCAAGCCTATAATGAAACACGTTTTTAAATACACCAATTTTATATGAACAACCAAACATAAATCGTGGGCTAAGTACTTCTGCTAGATAATCCCATATTTTTCAAAATAAAGATAATCGCATAAATAAGTTCCAAACGGCGAGGGCAAGAGCGTACTACAACCAGGTCTAGAGCTGCCGATCTAGAGGTCCTACTTAAAATTTTCAAAAATAAATAAATTTATAGACAAGAAAAAAAATTTAATAAAAAGTAAGATGAAGCAATAGTTCAACACTTTGGGATAGATAGTTCTAATGATATTAAATTTAGAAATTATTTTCAAATTATAGTTACTTCACTAAAATCCTGAAAAACCATAAAAATAGTTATAATACGATAGCCTAAATGACAACTAATGGTTGTGCAAGGATATGATTTTAGCGAGATGGTTGTGATTTGCGTGAGATTACGCTCAACCACCAGATTTTCCTCCATAACTAATTATTTAATTAAGGTTACCCACTTTATGTTGGGTTTGCCACAGGAAGGGTGTCGCTCCACGGCTGATGAAACAGAATAAATTTTGTTTTTTCTATGAGCCGGGATTCGAATCCGGGATCTCGAGAATCGGAAGATCAGTATCCTACTACTGAGCTGTCCCACTCCATTTTTCTGGCATTCCTTCCATAATTTTAATCTAATAATTTAAAAACCGCTTTCCAGGCAGCTATGAATATACGAGATTGATGTTCAGATACAACTTCTAACAAAATATTGCTATTGTTTGATCTTGTATCTGGTTCGCATAATCCAGTAATTAGAACATCCTTTATCTATCATCACTGATGTCTTACAGTTGTGGATTACATCCTTGGGAGGCACTTTATGTTATTTATGTGTTTCTTTTTATAGTTCCCCCCTTCCTCGCCTTTAAAGCTACACGGGATTTTTCCCGTACCAGAGGGTAAGGGCGGTGGATTAATGCCAGAGTTAAAAAGGTCACCTGGACGCGAACTCGAAATTATTTTGTCGTCTGTATCTTAGTTATCAGGTTGCCGGGCAACAGAGGTGCTGTGAACACGTGTTAGCCCGCTCGGCTATCCACTGTATACACAGTGTATAATGACTTAAATGTCGTCGAGTTCATAAACACTAGAACTTAAGTTGGACTGGCCATGTGATTCGGATGGAGGATGGTGATATTCCCAAAAGAGTCTACGAAAATAGAATTTACCACACAAGGATGGTGCTCCAGGATGCTCCAGGCACCGGAAATGGATCGATCTGGATGGCGAAAGCTCCTAGAGGAAGGAAGTCAAGACCCATCCCCGGGTAACAGCGCCAAATAGATAAATAGATTGACAGAGGATATACCGGATTTTTTTAAAAATAAAACGGAGTGATACGCAAGAGGAGACAATGATCGCAGGTAAATAATATGTATCTAAGCCTGAGGGATACAGTGTACAGATGACGATGCAGTATGAGATCCTGTCGTCGACTCTTGCTAAAAGGCGTGACAAAATGGAATGCGGTACCAGTAAGTGTCATATTGTCTGCTATTTATGTGAATTTATGCTGCGGCAGAAATATAATAACGAACATCTTTTTGAGAGGATTTGGAAAGACGTAATAGATTAATAGAAGACGTAATAATAAAATAGATAATTCATGCCTCCGGTGTAAATATATGTTTCTCTCAGTTACTGTTAAAATTGAACAGATTAAGCACACTTGAACCAGGTTAATCACTGGTGCCCGTTCTCTGCCTAAGACCAAAAATCTTTCAAAAATAAATGAAAGATTTTATGTTGCTTACCATCAAATATGAAATATGTAAACCACTTCATTGCCTTTGAAAATGTGTAAACCGCAAAATAAAACGTCGAGAAAGGGTGTACAAGAATGATTTCCTTAATCTCCAAAACTATCTGTTATAATTTTACAAAATTTGATTTCTGGGAAGAGTTAACTATAAATATCCCATTTGCTATCTATAATAGACAACTGTTTATTTTAGTGAACTGGGCAGGGACCACTATGCCCTCGAATGTAAGGCAATACATCCGCGAGAAAAACAAACTACAATTAGCAGCGGTACAATAACTTCTCGGAGAAGAAAAAGAACCAATAAACCTCAATAACACAAAGAAATCGATAAGAACTAAGTCACCGTAAAATCATCTCTTTTTTTTTTAAGACAGTTCATAAAACCTTTCAAGGCTGCCTATAGTTTCCTAGCGTCCGTCTGAAAATTGTTATTTTTTATATTTCTCGCTAAGACATTAAGCAGTCTTATAACTAAATTTCAATTAAAAAAAAAAGCTACCATGACATAATGATAGGTAATAACAAAAATATAAACTAAAATAACGAAACAAATGGTTCGAAATAATTTAGTTTATCCAACAACAAAAGCTCATTGTTCTTTAAGCGATAACTTAAATAAATCTTTGACAATTTAGCATTGATAACGCTTCCCTAATTATTTGAAATATCAATCTATACCCCTTAAAATATCACTGATGATCTATTACTTTATACTAGTATAAATACAGGCAATATACTATACAGTGTCAAAGATTAAACGAAACCTAATCTTAATAAAAATAAATAAATAAAAACTGTGGAATTTTATTTCCATTTTAACACGGCTTGTAATATAATTTATTATTTAAATTATTATTAAAATATGATATTGGGAAAGAGGCTTTAATTAATAAGTTTCAGAAGAAAAAAAATCTTTTTTGTCTAAATAATTAAAATACTTTATTTTAAATTTATCCAAAGTTTCACCTCATGAGGCATCTTCAGAAATAAATCAGCATTTTGCAATATATTCCGAATTCTCCTCTGAAAACGTTATGTACAGAATTTTTTTTCAGATGATTTACTAATCTTCACTAGTGAATCCTCTGAAAGAATTTTGTACATATCGTTTTCAGATGAAAATTCACAACATATTGCAAAATCGGATTTTATCGCTGAAGATCCCTAAGAAGGCGAAAATTTAAATAAATTTAAAATGAAGTATTTAAATTATTGAGACTAAATAGACCTTTTTTCTACTGATACTTAAGTTATTATTATTAAATTAGATAAAAAAATAAAACTAAGTTGACCGTACTTCAAATTTCAATCTGCAGAACACGGGCCTTGACAGTTTTCGTGGCAATTGCTTCTGGAACAAGAGGAAATATTATTTACATAACAGAAATTATCATGCGGTTACGACTCGAAATGCACAGATATGCCAGGCTTTGGAGTAGCTGAAAACGATAAGCCACACCGCAGATTATCCATAACAGATAGTGGTCATGTTTTTGTTCCGAATCTCGTAGCGGTCCAAGAGGAAATTTAAGGAAACGTCTAAAACATGTAACGGTTTTTATAGTTTTTTTTTCTATTAAAATAAAAAAATACATTTGAATTGAAGAAACAATTATTATTTTTATTTTCATGAAATTAGTGTTTCAGACAATACTTCAAAAGTAATAATTCCAGTACCTTTTTCCGTCATATATAATAATTTATTCATATTATATTATACATTGTAAAAGATATACATTTAATTTTTTTTTTCTGTTGGGTTTACAGACCTTGTAGATTTTTAGCAACTTGAACCAGCCTTTTTCACCTCTGGTTATCTTGGAAGATTGCTTTCCAGTTTGTTACATACAGCTCTGCAGCCTCTTGGCTGATTTCACCTATATATCTGGTTTCTGGCTCCCCATATAGTCTCTTCCCAACAATCAGGCATCCCTTATAATGTTGAGAGGATTCTAGTTTGATTCCTACAAGCTACATGTTCTGCCGACCTTAACCTCGTGGCCTTCATGTCATGAGGTATTGATTGATCAGTATCTGTAAGCAGTTCATTATTGATCCTTTTCCTCCATGCATTAGTACTCTGATGCCAAATCGCTGAATATGCAAGTATTTCTTAAATATATTATTTTGCAAAATAAATAATTAATCAATAAATTAGTATTAATTTCATCCGTATCTATCCTGTTTAGTCATTATCGGGTCATAATTTATCAAGCTGTATCCAATTTAACAGATTTATATCTCTTCTAAACGTGAATGTTTTAATACCTTCTTCGTCATCACCTAATGCTCTTGCGATTGAGACAGAAATATTATGTCTTTATCTGGTGTCAGTAAATGATTTCACATTTTCCTATTGTGTTAGTGTTGTACGGCGTGTGTCACAAGAAATTAAATTTATAATAATGATCTGAAAATTTTAGCGAAAATAAAAAGACAAATGTAAAATCCATTTATTTTTGGCTTTTAACATACATGATAAACTTTAAAACGCCGTTTAAAATTCAGCACAGCAAGCGATCAGAAACCGCCCAGACTTTATAAATGACCTATCTCCTCCGTGGACAGATACCCCACCTTGACAGCCACAAGATATCCGTTCCACACCCTATCTCCAGGAAGAAGAGCAGGGGCCTAGGTGATTAGATTGCGTGGTGTTGGCCTCCGTGATCCTGACCTCCGCAAGGCCCACGCATTGTCTCGTCTCCCGTCCCGCCGTTATGGAAGAGCTAGCTGACTTGCGACTTCTGCCGATCTTATCGCAGGGCAATATAATGGATATCTGCAAGTAGACTATTGTGGTGGATTTTCCTGTATCCAATAGTTATTATCCCGATGAAGAGACACTATCCTTGAAACTTATAATTGGTCTCTCAGCGACCTCTAGAAGTGATTAGTAAACCGATCTAGACAATAATACAAGAGAAATGGTACGTCAAGAAGTAGACTTCCATGTGCTGCATGAGCATGCTTTTTAAAACATTGTGACATTTCCGTAATGAATAAATCATTTAAAAGAACTATTTAAGGACAATATTCAACTGTTCTAAATATCATGGATGATATTTAAATAGGATGCAATCATTTTTTAAGATTTTCCATAGACAATGTTCAAGATTGCGGGTCATCTTCAAGGCTGAAGGTTTGCATAATATTAGAGATATAATAGATAATAGATAATAGTTAATAATGATAAATAGTGATGTGAATAACAAATGTAGATTGATGAGAATACACATACGTTACAGATATGTGTAAGGTAACCTAACTTCTACACCATTGTGTAAGATGCCTACAGCATTCATTATCAATATTCCTGCAAAAGGTTTATTAACATTACAGCTCAGATGGCTTTACTCTATTATTTAAACTTATTTAGGTCCAATCTTTTCAACGTCCGATCCCATTGTCGCTCTCCTAAAAACAATTCTTCCAAGAATAATCAGGAAACATCTTTCCAGCCAACCTCCAGTTTCATGAATTGCTAGGTCTTTTCAGGGTGGGCGGCCATTCCTCAGGTGCCAAACACCAAGTAAGGATTCTATCCAAATTTAAAATTTTGATGGGCGGAATATTGCGGCCAACATGAATACATTTATTTTATCTTGTGACCATATCATAATATGGGGTCATTTTTAGTAAGTTATTTTATTTTAATTTATTGTATTTTTGTTTCCATACCATTGTATGGCAAACCGTTCTATTTTCATTTAATTATACACTATGAGACCTCCCAGCGGCGATGTTTTCGGCCACTTACGGGACTCTCCGCCTAATGTCGAGTCATATGATATGGAAGCAAAAAGAAAACAGTACGAGACAGTATGGCTGCTGGTAGCACTACATTTAGAATTGCCTTCATGAGGTTCTTTGTCCAGTTACCATTCTCCCTGACAAACCCATTGATTCATCTCACCATGTTGTGTCGGTGACTTACCACATGTGGGACATTATTATCCTGCAAGAGGACGTACGTCAGGCGACTACAGACTCATAATATGACCGACCGGCTGGATGTGATCTGTTATATTTAAATTTAGAACTTTCCTAGGGCTAATGGCGCCCATATAAAAGACATTTCAGACCCCATGGGTCTCCAGTTTTAATAAATGGGTTTAAAACATTATTTTCTTAAATTTAAAAACCTCCTATTTAGGCTAACTTTAACTTGTACACTAGTTCATGCCATCTTCATCGAGTGCACTCATAGTGTAGTGACTATCGGACTGTAATGCTATGGTGAAGGTTCCCCGGTACAAGACTTATTCCATCATATTATTTTTTTTTCTTTTTATTATGTTAAAAAATATAATTTAAAATGATATACATTTATATAAATTTTATCTGCAACATAATTTTAATAACTCTAGATTGATTTGACAATTAAATAAATTTCATTTCATTAAATAATAATAATTTTTAATTAAAACATCGACATATTGTAAATTTAATTTAATTCTAAGGTTTATTTGTTTTATGTTCAGTATTTTAAGATAAATTTTATTTCTCTAATTATTATTATTTTATATTGGGAGAAATATTTTTAATTTATTAATTTGTTATAGCATGTATAATCTCATTTATAATTCATTTATTATTTTCAATATACAACTATAATTTCTGCTATTCGGCATTTATTTATCCACATGGATTCGTCTCATTTAGCATAATATTATCATTCAACATATTTATCCTAATGGATTTTTATTATTTTAACAATTTTAAAATTAATTGATTAAAAATACTCCAGTGTCTATGGAAGTAAGGTTGTGCAGAATTGGCTGTTTACATTTGAACGCCCGCTGTCGCCACATTACTTGTTTAAGATCTGGCTCTAGCAAGCAAAGAGTTGTTGATTAAAGGTATTTAAAAAATAAATAGATTTTTAGATCAATGAGATAAGAAATATCTCATTATTATACACTAGCGGATCCAGGATTTAATTTTGGGGGAGGGGCTTCAGCCCGAAAGATTTTTTTTTCATAAATCTTCATAAAAATAATTTGAAAAAAAAAGAAATAAATTAACTACCTATATGAAATGGTGTTTAAGTGGTTCCTGAAGTCCTATTAAAGGAATAAGAATGCTTTAAGAGATAGTTTTTAATATTTTTTTGTGTAAAAAATGGTTATATTTTATCATTTGGGGGGAGGGGGAGTTCAGCCCGAAAGCCCCCCTCCTCCCGTAGATCCGCCTGTGTTACTATATAAGATAGATGTTAGATGGACGGCACACGGAGCTCGGAGCGATCCAACAGAAAGCCTCTACACAATAATCAATGCACCAAAAGAAGGTAAAAGACCACACAAAGGAC